CAGGTCGAGCTGTTGTTCAGCATCTTAGCTGTGGAGGGCAGTGTCACTGGCCCTCATATGTGGGATCCGAACCGGGACCCTCTGGCATCCCAAGCCAGTTCTTAACCATCGCGCCACTCGGCCGGCCCCATACCTTTATCTTTTGACGTCCTGCAAACTGTTCACTTGCAAGAAACAATGGCAGCCACACATTTTCTAGCCTATTTAGGACAAGCTTCTGAATTTCAATTAGAACAGATGCATCAAGCTGCTCGTGGAGATTCTTCCCCCAGCCACCACTTAAACTCATTATCTAAGAAAATAAAAATGACACAGAAACTACAAACTTCTGTTTTGGTAAAAAAAACAACAACAACAAAAAAAACAAACACTGAGTCATTCATTTATTCTGTCACCCCCAAACCATTTGCTGAGCACCTGATAGGTGGTACAATTTTCATTGTTTGTAAAATACCTCCTTGCTATATTGTGCATAGTAAAGACAAATAACTCCTCTAACATCAAATAGAGAATTGTGGTTTATGCAATGGTTGGTTTAGGTATATGATTTTTGCTTATGATATATTTCAAAGAACACAGGAATGGGATTTTTATCCTGTGTGACCATAATCAATGCCATTTCTCACTCCCCTCCCCCGCCCCCATGGCCTCAGTATCTTGAACAATAAAATGATGGCATTAGTGTATTAGTTTTCTAAATTCTCTTCTAGCTATAATATATGAATCTATGATTCTAGTCAAATTGACCTGTTTGAAAAAACATTTTCTTTTGTGTATGACAAAAATGAGGCATTAGTTAAGAGACAACCTTAATTCAGATATTATAAATATGTATAATACCAACAAATATTGGGTTGGAGATGGTGGGATAATGGCAGTGGTAGCAAAGTAGGGCTGTTCCTTCTAAGAAGAATACAGAGGCAGCAGAAAGCATAAAAAGTCAGGTCATACAGACAGTAGTCTTTGATTTGCACACGTAGCACATTTCACAAAACACAATTTCTTGAGGCCCAAATTTTCCTTCTGTATTATTGGCTTCAACAAGCTATTAATGGCTATTTCCTGCTCTTTCCTACCTGTTTTATGTACACACCACTCAAAAATTTTGGACTGCTCATTGGAAAAATTACCTTCTTAGCTCTCCTTTGATTATAAGATTAAGCAAATCCTACTAATAATACTGTTTTACATAAAAACAAAAGAGAAACCCTCTCAGCCATACTTTAATATTAATCAAATAACATTAGCAATAATACTGTTTTTGTATAAAAAAAGAAAAAGAGGTAAGACTACTTTGCTAATCAAAGAGCAAATTGAACAAATAAGTAATGTACATGGGGATGTAATGTACAGCATAGGGAATATAGTCAATATTGTGATAGTGTGATAC